AAATGTTTTTGTTTTTTTAATCACGCTCAAAGTTTTACTTATAAAGAGAATATTATAGAATCTTAAAACAATTTACTAGCATTCAAGAAACCTTTCAGTGGTCCTACCGGCCCAATCAGGTACCAGCCCACTGGGCATTTGCCCATATAGCCAGTCAGCCCTTTCCCCTCCTCCTAATATATACTTTAGTAAAAATATTAGTTAATATATAAAAGTGATTAGTAATAAATGAAAAAAATTATCATGGAACCCTCATATTGATGAAATTATTTTAAAAAATCAAACAAAGCATTAGTCATTAGTACCATTAGGCAAGGCTATGATGATACCATGATTAGGGTTTATTAAAAAAAAAATTTTATCAATCAAACAGGAACATAGGTTTAATTAAAATATTATTTTACCTTAATGGCCTGTACTGGAATATATATTTGCATCCTCTGTTTGAGACCTGCAACTCAAGTAAACAAAGAAACCAGATCTAGAACAGACATAAAAAAGAGCTGTGAAATTTATAACAAACAAATATTCACATTTGATTAGAGTAATAGTAAAATAATAAAATTTAGAGACACTTCAGCAAAGAAGAATAAAAAGAAAAGTAGCAATAATACATAAAACGCTGAACCATGCTTTGCAAATTAATACAAAACCAAAACCCAATAAAATACTTAGAAAGTCACTAAGATTAAGGCACATTTTTCTTATTCATATGTTACAACGAATTTGTACAAGTGCCCCTTCTTCCCTAGTGCAGTTAAAGCATCCCAAAGAATCGGTTGCCGAATCAATTAGGAAAACCAACAGCTTAACTTAGTGTTGACAAGACAACTATAGCCTACTGTGGTTGCCTGGAAATGACGCATACATGAAAAACAAGCCAACACCTTAAGGCATGCAAGTATGGTGCTATGCATAAGCCACTTCAGGCTATGTACTAAACTTTGATGTTTACACAGCCATAACAAACCAGTTTTTGTTGATGAAGAAATTCAGACTGAATGATTTCTTGCACAAAACTTTCTTCTGTTTTGCAAAAAAGTGTCAGATTTACTTCAGACTGCAGTTATTCTGCTTGACACACCAAGTGATACTAAGACCTTCAACAGTCAGCAAATGCTGTAGCCTAGGACTGGGCAAAAACTCCATTGCTTTCAGTACTCTAAAGATATCAGCAAAACAGCTATAGTGGCATTACCAGTAAGACTCCAAATAAGTGTGACTTAGATGATTAGTAGTGTAAAAGATATATTTGTAATATGACTGTGTTTGTAACTAAGAGTTACCTCCCTTAGCTTAGTCTTGAGGGAGATGTTGCATAGGTATGGCGCTAGTAACAAAAGTGTATTATACATCCTAGTTTTAAAAAAAAAGCCAAATTAAGCCAATAAAAAAAGAAGGCAGCACTGGCCAATAATGTGATGCAAGAAACATTTGAGTTACAAGTAACACACACTGTTTAAAAAATAGAAATATGTACAACAGTTGGGAGAGATTCAGTTGTTCTGACTGTACTCAAGAAGAATGGATTTAGTGGAGTGGTATTGAAATATGTTCTTGTTAAAAGAAATTTTGAGTCAATATTGTTGTTCTCTAATAAGAATGCTACACCTTATTTAGAAGTTGAAACAACATATCTTACTTAAATCATTTTGAAACATTGGTTATAATGTTGATTAAAATTCAAACATGGATTAATTACAACAATGAATATGTAAAGTCCTTAAATTGTACACCTTCACACCCCATGTCTGTACATCACATCTCCACAATTTTATAAAACCCTGCTATTATGGGGGTCTACATAGTACTTACTACACTACTATTAATACTTAAAATAGTAATATGATCTTTTTTAGATCTGAATCTAAATTAAGATCTCAAAATTATAATCTAGATCTATTTAGTTCAATGTATTTACTTAACTTTAGTTAAAAGTAAAAGGTTTTATCCTCTGTGTTCAAGGTAGGTCACAGATACACTTCACAAGATGTGAATCCCCCAAGACAAATACCAAGAGAAAAACCAGCAGTCCAGAAAAAATCATTTCTAAGTGGATTACCACTTTTGGTAGGAATTTATTTTTAATACCACAAGATATTACTGTTTGTATTTGTGCATTTTAAACATAGATCTAATAGATTAGACACTAGTCAAAAATATATTCTTTTGATAAATTAAAAATGAACACATAATGAGAGACAATGCTTTATTTAGTTGTTTCATATTTAAGAAGCTTTTTTTTTTAAATCAACTACTGTAAACAAGAGATTATGGCGAGTGCAGATTATAGGCCTCAGTCTGTTATAAAGTATTCTTCAGAACATCAAAGCAGCTGATGTGTTAACCTATCCAGTGATGGTTCTACATGAGCATATAACTTTTTGATATCTAAAAGTTTTCTATTTATTACACAGATTGTGCCTCTGGCTACTTTTGGACTTGGCACTTGGCAGATACAGAGGCGAGAATGGAAATTAAAGTTGATCAAAGAGATGGAAGAAAAAATGCAGGCTACTCCGGTTCCCTTACCAGAAGAGTAATTTCTACTAAGAACTGTTGTTGTTTTAAACAAAAAAATTAAATATATAATGCACAATGTGTAGTAAAACTGGAATGTGAACATTTAAAAAATTAATGTGGTAGATTATTAAAGTAGAAATAAAATGTGCCTATAATCTGTAGCTTACTAGGGTATTCTTTGGTTAGCACTATATCTCATAATTGTGTATCATCAGAGCATAATGAAGTTGGTTATATACCAAAGCTGCATTGCTAAAAAAAAGAAAGGCTTTAACACTATTCTATTTCATACAAAAAATATACAGAAACCTTCTTTTAAATACTGTATTTTATTTCATTACTTTAAGCAAACAGTAGAAAGGCTTTAGTTATAATTTGTATTGCTTTGTATTTGTAACCCTTCCTTTTTAGTGAAGGCATCATCTAATTAAGTATTACAAATTAACCATTACAAATGTTTGTTTATTTGCTTGACAGTTTAAAGGAATTAAAAAACATGGAATACAGAAAAGTAAAAGTACGAGGAACATTTGATCACTCCAAAGAGCTCTTCATCGGACCTCGTTCAAACCTCCACGCTGCTGACACAATGGGAGGAGAAAACAAGGCAGCATCTATGGGCGTGCATGTTGTGACTCCATTTAAATTAGCAGACAGGGAGTAAGTCCTAGCTGTCCTCAATCCCCACTTGACAGACGTTTTCTTTCATCCATTTAAAGCACTAAATTATTTTAAAATGCTGTTTTGCTACAGTTTATATAAAAAAATGAAGATATTATTTCACAAATACTTCTGCCAAAAGCTTGTCATTTTACACAAAGCACATTAACTCTTTCTCTCAATAATTATTTTCCACGTTCCCACAGAACTATTCATTTTGCTCATAAATATTCAACTACCCTGTTATGGTTAAACTTAAATAACTTTTTTTTTTTTATCAGAAAATGTTATATTTGGTATACAATGAAAGAATGCACACCCTTTGTAGATTATTTAAATTGATGTATATAAAACCAAAATAAATTATTTTTTTTGGATAATGAAACTTAAAACTTCATGACAGTGGACAAGCCTCCCTTAAAACTAGATCTAGACAAGATCTAGGCGTTATTTTTTTATTCAAATGGAATAAAAAGTCCTTTTTATGATAGTTTTTTATATTTTCACAAAACTTAATATATTACATATATATATAAAATATATATGTTGATTGTCATGAGGTCACTATCCCATGACACACCCCCTATAAAAAATTAATATAGAAAAATAGAGCTTTTTTTTACACCCAACTCTTTAAAAACATTGTTTGTTTGTAAAAACATAATGAAAATTTTTTTAAAAATCAATTTTTCCAATGGGAAACTAATCAAGATTTATTTAAAAGCATTTTGTAAGGAAAGAAAATAAAACAACTGACTTTTTAAGCATCGACGATAAAATCATTGATTTGGCTGCAGAATGAGGTAAAATCAATGATAATATCGTAGATTGGGAAACAAAGAGTTATGTGTAATGGCTAGGTATATTTCCAGAATCTGCAGAGTGCCTTTTATATCTCACAGTATCATTTAATGCTCAATTCAACTATTTAATATTAAATATTGACTTGAAGTAACATTAGGAAATATGGGTTAATCAGGGTTGGCTAAGTACCATTAAAAGTTTAATTTTCAAATAACTTTTGAACCTTTTATTTTGTAGTTTATCTGTACAATTTTGTTTTTTACATGCTATCATATTTCTGTTTAAATCATTAGTGAAACAATACTTGTCAATCGAGGTCATGTGAAATTTCAGAATCGTCCTCCTCAAATGAGATCAGCTGGTCAGGTGTGTAATAGAGAGTTATTTTTTAATATTAGAACCTTATACATTAAATTTTTTTTTTTTAATTTGTGTAGTTTTTGTTTTTTAAGATTAACTTTGTTTACAGAGTTGTTGTTTTTCACCTGTTAACTTTGAGGCTACTTTTTCAACAGGTTGAAGGAGAAGTTGATCTTATAGGCATTGTTAGACTGAGTGATAAGGTAAAAATGGCTATAAATCAATTTTTTTTTTTACAAAATAACTACTGTTGATTCTAAATCGGCATGAGTGCTAAACAACAGACATCAGTTGGGCAATAGTTAGATTATAACACTTAGTCACACTTTTGTCTCTCACAATGTCTGCACCCTTCGTAAGTATGACATTGGAAAAATTATTCTTGAAACTTTGATATGCGTTTATAGAATTGTTATACATTTTACTTTTAGAAGAAAGATTTATACAGTTTTATTTTTTTTTACTTCCAAACAAAAATATTTGTGTTTTTCATCATCAGAATATGTATATGAAATCCAACCCTTTAAAAGATGGTTTCTGGTTGAGCCGGGAAGTAGAGGAAATGGCAGATATTGCTGGGACATCAGAAGTGTTCATTGATGCAGACATAAGTAAGCTCAGCTCCCTTAAACCATAATCAACAAAACAACTTATTTTTGGTACTGTTAAAAGAAAAACATTTATTTCATTTATTAAAAGCAACAAGAAAAAATACAAAGTATTAGTAAATTTGTATTGTTTATACAGCTAGAAACTGAAAAATTTCTTGAGTGTTGGGATATTGTTTTGGGTTTATTCAAAATCTTGTTTATTTTTTAAAAACTTGATTGTATGTAAAATGTCACATCTCACACAGTTTATTAAGGTTGGCAATGTTATATTGTAACAGTAAAGCATAGTATTAAGCATGAAAGTTGATAGTGGAAATTATTTTATTTAAAAAGATACTTTGTATAAGAAGGTTTAGATGATGAAAAGAAAAAAAAGCATAACACTAACCAGTACACATATTTATACAAGAGTGACATTAGCTTTGCAAAGGTAATTGGGGTTAGTAACTGTGTTGGCTACCCAACATTCTTCTAAGTCACTGGACATACAATACTTTACTTAGGATGTGAACATATCTTTTTCCTAGGGTTTAATAAAGTTTATTCCCACCAACAGATTCAAGTGTACCAGGTGGACCTGAAGGAGGACAGACTATTGTTTCCTTACGAAATGAACATTTAACTTATGTCATTACATGGTAAGCTACTATATGTCTTGAGTATGTAACTTTTATTATATTTTTTTTTATTACTAGCACAGCATTAAGTCAAATTGTTCTTTCTTGATAAAATAAAAATTATGAAAAAAACAATCAGAACAATCCAAACAAGCTTCAGTCAGATTCAATTGGAATTGTTCTTGTCTAAGTATCAACATACAACAACAAAAGTTATGGTTTTATTTAATTCTCTCTCGTTGTTACCCTGGTAAAAATGTTAAATTTGCATAACTACAGGAATGAAGAAAGTATATAAATACATATAACCACTATGAATATATATATGTATTTGCACTAAGTATCACGTCATCTGAATGTTAATTACTGTACACTATTTGTTTATTGATTAATTGTTCACTATAATTAACATTAAAATGCACACGAAACATATAGTTTCAAACAAAACAGATTGAACAAATTGATGATTTCAACCAGTTTAGTAGGCTGAATAGTTTAACACAATGGTATATTTCAGGTATACATTGTCTGCTTTAACCTTGTACCTGTGGTGGAGAAACTACAGAAATCCTAGAATAAGCCGTTCAATGTTACAAACAGTGAAACAGAATTTTAGAAAGACTTAACCCAAAAACACTATTTTATATGAAAATATTTATATCAAGTGAAATATTTCACTTCAAAAACATTTAGCTTTTAATATTTTTGTTGGCTAATGTTTGTTAAATGACATTGTACATAGTTATAAAAAATAAAGGATTTTCTAAATTATAAAACATTCATAATTGTGATAGTTTTTGTATCCATAAGTTTTGAGAGAAGTGTATATGTTTCTTCTTTACTATTACTTAAAGTTCATTTTAACTAACAAAAGAATAAGATGAATTTTTTTAATGGAACCTAAATCAAGCATGTCATCCACTCAGATTACATCCAATTAATAGAAGGTAAAAGAAATTAAAAAAACGAACTAACAAACATAATTAGTTGCAATATGCATCCCTCTTTGAGGTCAAGCTTTTGATACCATAGAGATGACCAAATAAATGCAGTGAACTTTATGTTCACATTAACACAAAACAAGAATAACACCATTAGTTAGAATTATGTAATTTAGAGACACTCAGAAAACTTACATTTGCATAAAACATTAAACCATAACTTTCAAAAAACAAGGATAAAAGTCATATTTTTATTCCTTAGACTTAAGTAAGTTAATATACATAGGAACCTTTAGTTCCTATTTCATATAGAGCATAAACTTATCACTTACAACATGAACATGCATGGGTAATTTTTTTTAAAGGAACCTCTGCTTGCTTATTAAATGCCATTGAATTATTTTTGTTAGAACTTTCTTTTAGACATGAGTGGTTAAGCACTTGGCTTCCGAACCTGGGGATCCTGGGTTTGAATCTTGGTGTAGACTGGGATTTTGAATTACTGGATTTTTAGGGCACCCCTAGGATCCACCCAACTCTAATGGGTACCTAACTTGAGTTGGGGAAAGTAAAGGCGTTTAATCATTGTGCTGGCCACATGACACCCTGCTCATTAACCATTGGCCAAAAAAACGGATGCCCTTAACAACATCTACGCTATAGATTACAAGGCTTGAAAGGGAAACTTTTTTTTTACTTTTTATTAAAAATATGCATACAATTATTTTTTTTTTTTAAATAATGATTTTAGCTCCCATTTGATTACTACCTTTCAAGTTAGTAATTTTTAATTAGTTTCCTGCTAAACTAATGAGGATGAACTTTTGCACAAAACTTCTAATTTAACTATCAAAGATAAAAGTTCACATTACTACTTTTTAGGCACTTCTGAACTGTTTGGACATATCATACTCCTATTATTAATATCACTCCTCATGGATCTCACTTAAAAGTTGTACAAATTATTTATTGAAACATATGGAGCAAAAAAAGCAGCAGCTGAGAAAAGTGACTATTAATAGAATGAGGCCTACAATTACCCACTGAACAACTACAATGATCAGTGTGAAATTTGCCAAAGTTTCATCACATTTAAGACAATCAGGTAATGGCTGCATATTTGTTGCATTTGTACAACTGTACATTGTGTTTCTTGTGTCCACAACTAAAACGGTTCCTAGTGATAGAAAAACAAATATTTTTTTTTTTATAATCCAAACTTTTCATTGAATAGTAGTTTACATACTGTGATTTAATTTGTTTACATTTTACTATGGAAAACAAATTTTGTTCTGCATAAGTCACTTTTATGAACTGAATAAATTATTTGTATTACTTAGACTTAGGAATTTTTACCAAGTCAATTAACATGTAGACTACATTAAGTTAGGCCTACTAGGTAATTTAAAGTAGAGAAACTTGGTAATTTAAAAAAGAGTAATTTTAAAATCAGTATTGATGACATTTTCATCAAACTTAGTTTCATAATGTGATCAAAGGATTTGGGTTAAACTCCTTTTTATTCAGGTATGTAAGAGCTCAGTTAAATTCCTGAATTCTCCCACTTCTAGTCTGCTGGTCTCAGCTGGAATTGTGTGGTTAGTACAATGCTGTACTTAAGCATTAATTATGTTAATAATGCAAATTGAATTTGTAGTATTAATAAACACACAATTAACCAAGTTAGAATACACAATTGAATTCAATGTCTTCAATAGCTTGCCCGTGACTCCACAGAAATAGATTCAACGTCAATCTTAAACTTATGGACCCTTTAAATAAGCTTGTCTTCTTTATTGACACTTTCCCAACTAAGTTAAGTTAGGGTTACCGAAAAATTCATCAAATTCAATTTTGGTTTTTTATTACCTCCTCTGATATACTTAGCCTTCTAAGAGAATTGAAGCAACAATAATGAAATGTGCAGAAACAAAAACTTTTCTCTGGCAACTTTGTCACATTTTATTAATAAAAATGTATATAATCTTTCTTATGAAAATAATTTGGTGTAAGGTGAACATACATAAAAAGCCTTTCATCATTTAGCACTTGAACAGACATGGTTACCTCTTACCATAAATTAGCCAAGCTGTGTGAAAGAGAAACAAAATCAGGGTCAGGCCACAACCAACTTTGACAATGGCAGGGAATTTCCATTGTCCATTTTTGGGCCTTTCTTTGTGCCCTTTTGTGTAGAAGTAAGGCACAGTGAAGAATACAAGAGTAACACAGGCATCAACAATCAGGTATATTGGTAGGACTGGTCTCAGTTGACAACCTGTGAAATAGATGCTGCCTGCCAAACAATAATCATTGCAATTAGTAGAAGTACTTTTGAAACAAGCAATATATAAAAGTACTTTTAAAAAAATAATAAATCTTAAGGAAAGACTTGCTCAATTACTGGCATTTCTTTTCAATACTGCAAGATTTATTTCCCCTTTTCTACATTTAAAAAACTAATTAATTACTGTTAATTAATTAATTAATTAGTTTTTAAAAATGTTATTGATCCATGTGTTACCATTGATAATGAATTATTATGCAAAGTTTCAACGTGATCCGAGAGTAGGAAGTGGGAGAAAAAATGTATGTGTAAAAGAATCCTGACAGACAGGCGGAACGAGTTAATATAAACTTTGTCATAATAAAAGAATGCTAAGTAAGGGATAACATATTGTTATAAACCTGGTGGTGGTACAAATGGGGGTAGTGGTGTGAGTAGTCAGCCGACGCAAATTGCCCCAGGCCAGCGCTAGACGAGCGGTCAACCGTGACGAGTTACGGCGGTCAGCCGAGACGAGTGTCAACATGACGGTTCGGGTAGGATCGGCGTCGTGAACAGAGCTCAGGAGCGTCACGAGGGATGTAGTCATGTGACGAAGCTAGAAACGTCGAGCAATGTTCCGTCCGGTTCTAGAAGGCCAGCAGGGACCCTATATAAAGAGCGGAGGTGTCGCAGTCAAGACGGTTCACGACAGGGGCTCAGAACACGGTCGACTACAGCACAGTTCAACAGTGTGGTTCTGTACGGAGCATTACGACGGTTCAGTGCGGAGTACTGTCAAGTACAGTTGAGACGACTGGCGTCTTGATCTTGGTCTGCGATCGAGTACGACACAACGAGCCTAGTGTATGAAGTCAGTCCTGAACTGTTGAACCCTGTGCAAGCCCGGAACGAGACGGAGAGGCCAGTGCAAGAGTTGATACGGCGGTACGGTGTTATCGGAGAGATAATTGTACAGTGTACGTATTGCCAATTGTACAGTATTGGCTGTTATTTATTCAACTATTAAATTGTTACGTTACTTTGGAGCCATGAGTTGTCAAGTTCTTTAAGATGGTGGTGTATGGTGCAGTTTGCAGAAAGCCTGCATAGTGAGATTCGTAACAATATTTCTAAAAATTAAATGAGTTCAATTATTTATTGCTAACACGTTATATCCAAATAAATATATTTTTTCAAAGTGTGTTGTTTAATTACACATGTTACCAAGTGATTTGTTTTGCACGCCTGATTAACGTCTGTTATTATTTGTCCGACCTAACAGACAAAGCAAATAATTGTAGTAGAAAGCTCAATGGGTAACTCACCAATAACTAACTTTGTTGCTGTGTAAGCAAGCAGAACTAGAGAAACACCTGCGGATAGATACGTATCATTATTACAGATCTATATTTTAAAAAAAAATGTCTCCCTTTATAATAAGTTGTTCAATATGAATTGAACTAACTAAATCTCGATCCGTCTTGTGAAGATTGATTTCCTCTCCTGTTTGTCTGACAATTTACTTTAGATCTTTGTGTTGAAAATCCAATGTAATTAATTAAGTTTTTTTGTTGGCCGATTTCGTGGGGGTGGGGAGGGGGCGATGGAATTGATCCCCCCCCCCTTAAACTTTTGAGTGGGGGTGGGGCGGTCCAATTTATTTGTAGAAATCAAGGTTGTTAACAGAATCAATTAAATATCTACATGATTAAAACTTGTTATTAATATTATAACCGATCTTAATATTATTTCGTTCCTCTGTTGGCCTATTTGGTGG